GTGAAACAGAAAAGACACGCCCTTTCTACAGCGCTCTCCATTTCAGACAACCTCAAGCATGATGAAGCTGGACTATCGGCATCTTACAGACTGGTGCAAAATGGACTTTTTCTTGACTGCCAAGAGTTAGGGACACAGAGTAGAATCTAGATCACAGAGTATCAGCCAAGGACCGCTGATTTCTCATCACAAGTGTTAAATAAAAGGACAAGAATTATTTTTATTCACATCCAATCTCGTGGCTGAAAGCAAAGCCTTCTTTGGATGTGGAGAGCCTGGTGCTGTGAGGAGTCCAGCTATAAGGCCCACTGGTCATCAGGCTCCACCAGTGACTGAAGCCCAGTTCTTGGCTTCTGCTTGCTTACCTCCTACGGAGACACAAGCAACTGAAAACCTTTTGTTGTTGTTGTTGTTTTTAAAATTAAAAACAGAGTAATGTGTATTAGAAAAGCTAGCACAGAAAAACTGTGGCTTCAGCTCAGTCTGACCAGGTCCGAGTCATGGGTGGCATTAGAATTCATCCCTGGCAGGCTTGTGGCCAGGACAGTCTTTCCCTTCCTCGTTTCCCCACTCCAGGGCACGGCATGAAGGCAGTGGGCAGAGTCCTGGGGCCGTCCTTTCAGTGGAATGCGTACAGCAGCAACAGAATGGTACAGACGCCGATGACCCCCCCAAGGATGAGCGAGTCGCGTCGTTTCCTAAGGTTGATCCTTTGTATCAGGCTGTTCACGGCAGGAAAACGGTCTTTGAGAAATGTGGTTAAGGTCATACTTGAGAAGTCTCTTTAATGAAAAGTCACAGGAATCCCAAGCAGTAAATGATCCCAAACAACAGATGTCGAGAAAGCATGGGAAAGAGAAGAGCAACCCGCATTCCCAAACTGGGGAACTCAGTCCACCCAGGCTGCAGGGCGCACCAGCAACACGAACGGGCAGAAGAGAACCAGTGGAGAAACAGGACAGTGCAGAGTCTGCCAGGGCTTCTGGGCCGCCTCTGCAGGTCCCTTTCTGTCCTGTGCCCTCCCCTCAGAGACAGGGGTTCCGAAGAAAACCCAACCCTTTCTGCCCCAGGAAGGACTCCTTCTTGGACTCAGGCATTTGGGCACTAGTGAATTATTCAAAATTTTAGGTTTACTTTGCAGCACTCTGTAATAGGAAAATGGGCTAAATGCTCTAGCTGCTCTATTTGGGGAACATTTTTTAAAAAGAGAGAGAGAAAGAAATTAGGAAATTTTCAATATCGGGCTTTGATAACCACCCCAACCATATTTTAGTTAGTACTTCAAGTCATTATCATACTCCCTGCACGTGTAGACCAAAGCAGCTGCACTGCTCCATTTTTCTGGCGACACACCCTCTTTGTTGGCAGAGACATTACACCAAGTTCAGAAAGAGCAATGACCATCCTCTTCTTGAGAAATGTCAGTGTATTTCCCCCATGACTATTACAGGGACACGTTTACTTGTGTATGTACAGAACCTACATCTTGTATGATCATGACTCTAAAATGTCTTCAATGTCTAGAGTATACTCCCGGCATTAGTACATTTCTGAATGGGAAACAAAGTGATAACTGATAGAGAAACAAGTTTAAAAATCAGGAACAAGACACGCATATCAAAGTGACAAAATCTTTTACAAAGTAAAACCTTTTCACAGAGAAAAATCCTTCACTTTTTCGTGTTCAATGCAGGGATAAAGGAATTATCAGGGGCTGGAGAGATAGTCAGAGGTTAAGAGTGCTTGCTGCTTGGCCAGAAGACTCAAGTTCTGTTTCCACAACAGGCAGTTTAGAGCCACCTGTATCTCCAGTTAAACCTTCCTTTGGCCTCTGTGTGAGCACACACACACAGAGATTAAAAAAATAAAACAGCATCAAATTGTAGTATCAGAAAACCTTGACTGTAGTGGATCCAGTTTTTAGTTTAATCTCTGGGAACTATTCCTCTCGTTTTTTCTTTCTCTCTCTCTCCTTCCTTCCTTCCTTCCTTCCTTCCTTCCTTCCTTCCTTCCTTCCTTCCTTCCTTCCTTCTTTCTTTCTTTCTTTCTCTTTTTAATTTCAGTTTTTCGAGACAGGGTTTCTTTGTGCAACAGTACTGGCTGTCCTGGAGCTCCACTTGTAGCCCAGGCTGTCCTCGAACTCAAGAGATTCACCTGCCTCTGCCTCCCAAGTGCTGGAATAAAAGGTGTGCGCCACCGCCCATCTCCTCTCTTGTTTCTAATAATGCAGTTAGGGTAAGGCTGAACTTAGTCTCTGCAGGCAGGAGCATCTGTACTCGGGTGGTAAAAGAGTCCTCCCCTCGGCCAGTGGCTTTGCTAGGAATGGGCAGTGGGATAGGCTAGGGGATTTGGTGACAGCTGTTACAAAGTTTGTTCTTTCCCTATGGCCCTCGAGCTGTGTTGTAACCATCTGTCATCATAAGGGGAGAGGCAGACTAACGGAGAAGAAAGGAGATCTGTGACGGGGAAGGGCGGAGACGCCGGGAAATGACAGCCTCCTGCTGATGGTTACGCTGATGCTGTCAAACCCAGGTCCTCAGGTTTTGTCTTTCTGTTTTGCTTTTTACCACTTCGCCATCTTCCGAGGCCCTGAGCACACACTCTTTTGGAATGATGAGTGTTTTATCTGTGGTAGGGAATATGCCGGGCTTGGATACTGCTCCTTTAGTAGGACTTGGAGGACACATACATTCAGAGAGAAGGTACAAAACACAGTGCTAACAGATTGGAATGGACAACTCGGTTTCAAGCAGTATGTAAAATAACCCAACTATTCAGCTGCCACTTTAACTTTTTATTTTATTTTTTGAGAGAGGGTCTCACTGTGTAGCCCTGGCTGGCCTGGAACTTGCTTTGTAGACCAGGCTGGCCTTGAACTCAGAGATCTGCCTGCCTCTTTCTCCCAAATACTGGAATTAAAAAACAATTGTGCTACCACACCTAGTTTCTATTTTATTTTCAGTGGTTACACAAAATACAAATACCTTTACATTCATTAAGTTGGTTCTGCTCTTGTTAGTGACTAAGCTTATAGTTTATAATAAATATAGTATGCCAGCTTCTTCTGGGCTGAGGCAGGAGCATCACCTGAGTACCTGAGTCTAGGAGATCTTACTAGGCTCTGTGTTGTTGAACAGTTTTCTGTGAGACTGAAACATTCCATCCAGAGAGACTGAAAGCTTCCATGGAAGATCCTTAAGCCAGGAGGTAAACAACTCAATAATAGCTTCAGGAAGTCCCTGAAACTGACCGATTCACTAGGCCCCTCCCTGGGAGAGAAAGCAGAGCTAACATACAAAGAAGACTCTTAAAACCAGATCAGCTACCTACAATAGGTTTAGGCCAAAGTCACCTGGAAAGGACACTCTCTAACCTGTTGAGCTGCCTGCAGCTTGTGCCGTGTGCTCCAGGCTTCCAGCTTTTGTGAGCTGTCACCCATGCTGGGGTGGGCCTTGGAAATACAGCTGTCTATGAGTCACTTCTGCTCCAGTAGTAACCCTGCATCCATATTCCTGTAAGTAGCAACAATACAACTCATTGGTTCACCAAGCTGGACTTTGGTGGTATCTGTACTCTGGTCTATAGTGGTCCCCATATATGGGGTGAGTAAATGAGTGTGTTGCATCACCCCAGAAATGACATGCATTGACCTTTTATATGAGTTCTGGAGATGCAAACTCACACTGGGGACAGAGCGACATCACCTGGGGGAGGAGGAAGTATGGTAATGATTTGATTTCATGGAAATGCATGAAAAGTGCACTGGGGGCCGGGGAGAGGCCTCAGTGGACAGACATGCTTGCTGTACAAGCTTGAGGAACTGAGTTTGAATCCCCAGGACTTACATAAAATGTCAATGCATAGTGCAAGCATCTGTAATTCTGGTGCTCCTGTGGAGAGATGGGGAGGTAGAGACAGGAGAATCCCTAGAAGCTTAAGGGCCAGCTAGCCTGAGGCATATAGCTTCATACAAGAAACCCTGACTGAAACTAGGTGGAAGATGAGGACAGGCATCTGAGGTCCTCAGATGCCACATGTGTGCCGCAGAAACATGCAATGGATGCATGCATATGCACACACAAAGAAAGAAAAATCATGGGAATTTAAAATACAAATCATATATATATATATATATATATATATATATATATATATATATAGTGGATCTAGGCCAGGCCACTTTTCTAAGCCTAGTTCTTTATCTGCAAAGTAAATAATTTCCTGTTTTTTCCATTTTATGAAAATGACAAAATGAGATATGAATAGTACTATATAAATTGTATAGCACTATATGAACTATGAATGACTTGGCATTGTAGTTTTTATACTAGACTAAGAAAACTAACAAAGGATTAGAAAACGTCAAGCAACACAAGGTATATTCTTTTTTGAAGGGGTCGGGGGATAGATTATCAGGATAAAAGTACCCTCAAATTACTGTGGACCAGATGAGTTGGGAAGGTAAAAATGTAAAAACCAACAAGCAGAGGCTGTACTCTGCACTTGGGCATGTGCGGTCGCCATGTTCTGCCAGCAGTTATGTGCACCGCAGTGTCCCCTCCCTTCCAGGTACCTGTGACTGACTCCCAAGTGGCAGTTAGAAACACAGTGTTGGGGAGGTTAAGAATAACACAGGCAGGGAGTACTAACTTGGATCCAGAACTTTTAAGGGCAAGGAAAATTTGTGACAAATTTTACAAATCTAAGTCTTTAGTATTAAATCTCTGGAGTGCTGTCCCCTAGAAACGGTGCTAAACCTAAGTTTACCACACACACAGTAGGAAATCCTCACAGGATTTAATTGCTTAGGGGTCTTATAGCTACTGACAGTGCTGGTGACCTGCACCCCACCCCATAAAACAGAAGAAAGCAAGCAAGAAAAAAACCTCACCCCACCAACAGATTTCAGAAAGGATACTGGCCAAAGTGTTCATTTTGCTGTGAATTGACTTGAGCATTCCTCTCTGGGAAGTCATGTTTTCTTTTGTTGCCATAGCAATGCTTCAAGAGAGGGGAGAAGAGACAACTGAGTTGGCACTGGAGAGTCACCTTGCTCAATTCATCACATCTCTAAAAGTACAGTGAGCAACCAATCCTGGAATGACCAGGCAGGAAATGGGTGCAGACCACCCAGCTACCTTCCCGTTGTCTTTTTTGGACTTAACGTTACCACTGTTACCCAATGCGGTCTTTGTTATGAGTCACCTCGCGTTTTCTTCAAGTAACTAATGAAATGAGACACTAAGACACAACTCACCCTTACAAAGTGCTTCTAATGGCTTGAAAAGGATCAACTACAAAAACACTCTTCATCAGGAAAAGCTGCTAAGAATCACAGCCATGAAAACAGCCCAGGTACGTCTCCACATTCCACCAGCGCTCCACAGAGACAAACGAGGTTTCAAGAGGCTAGGCAGGCAGTAGGCAGATTTGGGGTTTCACTAAATGTAAGGGAAAACGTCCATTTTTCACAGAATGTAGCCTCTTCACGTGACCACTCTGACATCCTGTGGAGAATCTGAGATAGTATACCTTTTGCTATCACTTCTATGACCATGTGTTTTCAAGTCTTCCTGCCCCAGATATTAGACTCCCAGAGGGCAGGGTCAGTATCCACTGTGACATGTGACACATGGGGGAGGGGGTGCTTTAGATGTGAACATTAAGAAAGTTGAAAGGGGGAGGTTTTGGATAGGTATGATCAAGAATCACTGTACATATTTGAATAGCCAAAGAATGGAAGACACTCTAAAATGTATTTTAAAAGAGTCATAGAAATTGGGGGAAATGGTAGCTAGAGACACTGTCCTGGTTTACCTTTGACCCATTTTCCTCCACGGAGTGACAGCAGAACAAAAGTACTCACGCTGGGGAAGGACCGTCTCAAGCCCCACTCCCTTGTGTCAGGAAGACAGCCGGCTAGAGGGACTCATGTACCTTCCCGAGCGAGAGACCCGAAGAAACACAGGGAACCCGACGTAGGAACCTGCGAACCGTGTGCCCTGAGGTTACAGTACTGGACTCAATTCCCCTTGGCGTCTGTACTTGCAGAGAGACTTAGGGGCTACTAGTGAGGTGCTCAGCCCCGAAGGGGACAACCCATGGGGCCACCATTGCTGGTAAGCTGCTGGTCTCCATGGGCAAAGACTCACAGAACCAACTACCAGGTGTTCTAATGAGGGGGTGCTAGAGGGATGAGAAATTAATCAACACTTTAATTTTATGATGGAGACGACAAAGAACGTGTAAGGGGATACCTAAAAGGGTATTTACTGAAGCATTTTAGAATAGTGGGGGAAAAGCAACAGAAAAAATAAGAGAAACACCCCACAAAGCCAGTGACCTCACAGAACAGAATCGGAACGGCATAGGATGAGCTCAGAGTGGCCCAGGCTCTTTGGAAAAACCATGGAGTAGCCGTCAGGAGATGGTCACTGAAGCTAGGAAAGGAAGTGAGAGCTACTGACAGGCAAACAGGCGATACGTAAAAGGAGGCAGAAGAGTGGACAGTCCTTTGCAGTGCGGCCAGGAAGGCCCAGAAAGCCAGCTGTGGGGCTCTGGCCAAGGAAGGCTCTGAGCAAGCTGTCTCTACAGCACACGAACTCTCCACTGCTGGCCTTGTAAATGGCCAGTTCCCTAGAGAGGCAGTGATGAAGGCCAGACAATGTCACGAAGCTCCTCGAATCCAGGCCATCAGCTGGGAGCTGAGGCCTCAGCTTCCTGAATGCTGGGATACAGGCATGTGTCATTTGGCTCGGAGGATCGATCCTTTGAAAATATCGGGAAGAAAGGGAAGCAGCAAAGAGATGGACCCTGACCAAATTCCGCCTGACAGGACAACAGGGCCGGGAACCAAGCACTCCGACTTTAAAGCAGCACTACGGTCTTACAGAAAGGACCAATTCAAACACAGGCCCATCTGAGTCGTGAGGACCATCCGAAACACAGAGGCCTCTGTTTCTTAAAGGGGGACTACCATTATCTCATGTGCACTCTGACTCACAAGTGGATAGACATTAAAAAATAATTTCCACAAAGCACTTTGTATTCCTTGGAGAGTAGATATTACATTAAGTTATTACCTTGTTGAATATGCATGATTTCCAGTACCACATAAAGTCTATCTAGACATACTTTCCCATCTTATCTCATCATCTGGAGTTGAGCTGAGTGAAATGTAGGCTATTATTTCAAGTCAAATACTTAGAGATAAAACATAAGCTTCATATAATATATAATGCTTTAAAAATGATAAATCATTTATATATTTACTGGAACTTCAGATTTCTTACCAGTATTATGAACTAAAAGCATAGTTACCTATCTAAAAAAATTAATTTACCTTGTGTGTATATGTGTGTCTGCATGCATGCATGCGTGCATGTGCATGTTTCTGTGTGTGTCACATGTGCATGTCAAGGTCAGAGGATGATTGTCAGGAGTTGGCTCTCTTCTTCCACCAAGGAGGTCCCAAGGGTCCAGTCATCAGACTTGGTGGCAGACACCTGTATCCTTTGAGCATCTCACTGTCTCAGAGCAGTGGTTCAGTAGGAATGATGTACCCTCTCACTGTCTCAGGGCAGTGGTTTCAGTAGGAAGGATGTACCCTCTCACTGTCTCAGGGCAGTGGTTCAGTAGGAAGGATGTACCCTCTCACTGTCTCAGGGCAGTGGTTCAGTAGG